AACCTCAATATTCAAGGTCCTTGGTTTCTAAGATTCAAGGTAATTGATCAAACATAACCTCAAAATTTAAGGGCATATAGTTTTTTAGGATTCAAGGCTTTAGTTCAAACATAACCTCAAAATTCAAGGTTCTAGGTTTCTAGGATTCCAAGGCCTTAGTTCAAACGTAACCTCAAAATTCAATGTCCTAAGTTTCTAGGATTCAAGGTAATTGATCAAACATAACCTCAAAATTTAAAGGCATATAGTTTATTAGGATTCAAGGCCTCAGTTCAAACATAACCTCAAAATTAAATGGCATATAGGTTTTTAGGATTCAAGGCCTTAGTTCAAACATAACCTCAAAATTCAAGGTTCTAAGATTCCAAGACCTTAGTTTAAACATAACCTCAAAATTCAAGGTCCTTGGTTTCTAGGATTCAAGGTAATTGATCAAACATAACCTCAAAATTTAAGGGCGTATAGTTTTTTAGGATTCAAGGCTTTAGTTCAAACATAACCTCAAAATTCAAGGTCCTAGGTTTCTAGGATTCCAAGGCCTTAGTTCAAACGTAACCACAAAATTCAATGTCCTAAGTTTCTAGGATTCAAGGTAATTGATCAAACATAACCTCAAAATTTAAAGGCATATAGTTTATTAGGATTCAAGGCCTCAGTTCAAACATAACCTCAAAATTAAATGGCATATAGGTTTTTAGGATTCAAGGCCTTAGTTCAAACATAACCTCAAAATTCAAGGTTCTAAGATTCCAAGACCTTAGTTTAAACATAACCTCAAAATTCAAGGTCCTTGGTTTCTAGGATTCAAGGTAATTGATTAAACATAACCTCAAAATTTAGGGGCATATAGTTTTTTTAGAATTTAAGGCCTTAGTTCAAACATAACCTCAAAATTTAAGGGCATATACTTTTTAAAGAATTCAAGGCCTTAGTTCAAACATAACCTCAAACTTCAATGTCCTTGGTTTATAGGATTCAAGGTAATTGATCAAACATAACCTGAAAATTTAAGGGCATATAGTTTTTTTTAAAATTCAAGTCCTTAGTTCAAACATAACCTCAAAATTCCCCTAAATTAAAATTCTTTTAAATATAAAAAAAGTCATATGTAAATTAAATTAATGTAAAATAAAAATTCGGTGGCTTAAAAAGTTTTGTTTGAATAAAAATTGTAAGTTGTCCGCTTCACGTGAAATGACCCTCCCTTCATCTATATATCATTTATTTATATTTTTGTATATAAAATAAACTTCCTCATTTAACGAGGTTTCACTGTAATTATTATCAACGTTAAGATTTCTTTCTCAAATCGAAGAAATAATTATACACATTCGCAATTTTTTTAATAGACAGACAATCGTACATTTTATAATTTTCTTTTTTTTTTAAAAAAAAATATATATATATATATTAAATCTAATGAAATTAAATAAATATATTTTTCTTTTTCTAATATGTATAATGTGCGACAATATGATTTTTAAATTTATCGCCGACACACATATATATATATATAAGTGAATATTTAAAATGACACTTAAGCATATAATTAATTAATGATCAATTGTTTTCTTAAGCGTGAATCATTTATCGTCATTATTATTATCATCATCATCGTCATCATCATAATTATAAGTATGTATGTGGAAACAAAAATTTATTCCAATTACTTGATCAATTTATTTTAGAATATTTTCCATTTTTATATTATTTTTAAATCCGCAACCTTAATTTATGATTATGATGAAATTTAAGAAATTTTAAATTTTTATGATTTTATGATTCTAAGTAGGTTCTATATGTAGTTTCGAAATAATTTCAAAAAAAGATGAAAGTATAGTTTTCGAACTACATACATAATTTAGGATTTAGAATCAACGCAGGTCCAATGTAGGTTCAAAATAGGGTCAAATTAGATGCAATGTAGGGTCTAAGCAAGTTCAATGTAGGTTTAAAGTAGGGTCAAAGTAGGTCCAATGTAGATTCAATTTAGGTCTTATGAAACTAAGGTAGGTTCAAAGAAGGTTTAATGTAGGTCCAAAATAGGTTCAAATTAGGTATAATTTAACTTCAAAATAGGTTCAAAGTAGAGTCAATAAAGGGTTAAATTAAGTGTAATGTAGAGTCAAAGTAAGTTTAATAAAGGTTCAAAGTAGGTCCAATGGAGGTTCAAAGTAGGGGCAAAATAGGTGCAATGTAGGGTCAAATTAGGTTTAATAAAGGATTAAAATAGGTCCAATGTAGGTTCAAAATTGGGGTCAAATTAGGTACAATGTAGGGTCAAAGTAAGTTTAATGTAGGTTCAATGTAAGTTTAATAAAGGTTCAAAGTAGGTCCAATGAAGGTTCAAAGTAGGGGCAAATTAGGTGCAATGTAGGGTCAACGTAGGGTTAATAAAGGATCAAAATAGGTCCAATGTAGGTTCAATATAGGGTCAAAGTAGGTTTAAAGTAGGGTTAAGAAAGAGTCTAATTAGGTTCAAGAAAGGGACAAAACAGATTCAAAGTAGGTCCAATAAAGGTTCAAAGTAGGGGCAAATTAGGTGCAATTTAGGGTCAAAGTAGGGTTAATAAAGGATCAAAATAGGTCCAATGTAGGGTCAATATAGGGTCAGAGTAGGTTCAAAAAAGGGTTAATGAAGAGTCTAATTAGGTTCAAGAAAGGGTCAAAACAGATTCAAAGTAGGTCCAGTAAAGGTTCAAAGTAGGGGCAAATTAGGTGCAATGTAGGGTCAATGTAGGGTTAATAAAGGATCAAAATAGGTCCAATGTAGGGTCAATATAGGGTCAGAGTAGGATCAAAGTAGGGTTAATGAAGAGTCTAATTAGGTTCAAGAAAGGGTCAAAACGGATTCAAAGTAGGTCCAATAAAGGTTCAAAGTAGGGGCAAATGAGGTGCAATTTAAGGTCAAAGCAGGGTTAATAAAGGATCAAAATAGGTCCAATGTAGGTTCAATATAGGGTCAAAGTAGGTTCAAAGTAGGGTTAATGAAGAGTCTAATTAGGTTCAAGAAAGGGTCTAAACAGATTCAAAGTAGGTTCAATGTAGGTTCAAAGTAGATGATGTTCGAAGAATTTAGTCTTTTACTAAATCATGGCTTTTTCCACATGGGTAATAAATAATTAATTAGTAATTACTTAATAAATAATTGAAAATTAAAAACTAATTGATAAACAGAAATTAGTAAAAAAAAAAAGTGGTAGAATATTATTAAAACTTTTTTCTTTTTTTTTATTCGTTAAATTGACAATATATTTTAAAAAACCAATTGTGTAAATAAAAGAAAAAAATTATGTTTTATATTACCAAAAAAAAAAAAAAAAAAAAAAAAAAAAAATGTGTCAACATTGTGCAACTTATTTCAATTAATTTTTGATAGAAAAAAATAAATAAAAAATAATTACACTTTTTTTTATTGATTTTAAAATATTAATAATTTTTCATGGAAATTTTATTTACTCATTTGTCTGTATTTGATGTACTTTGTATTTGTATAAAAAAGATAAAAATCTTTATTGACGTCACTTTTGACGCCGCCTAAAAAAGAAAAGAAAATTTCGTCATTATCAATAAATATTGATATTGACGCAAAAGAAACAAGTATGGAAAAAAATTATTATATAACTTTAAATTTTAGTACATAAAGAAAAATTCAATGAATTAAATATAAATTTATAATGTTTGACTGATAAAAAAAAATATTTTTTATTAATTTTTTTCCAACAATTACATATAATTATAATTTTTTGAAAATTTATTTTTTCATTTATTTATTTATTTAATTATTTTTTGTTAACCCTACCTAATGTGCGGTCAAAAAAGATCCTATGTAGGTTCAAAAAAGGTCAAAGTAGGACCAATATAGGTTCAAATTAGATTCAAAGTAGATTTATTGTAGGGTGAAAGTAGGTCCAATGTAGGTTCAAAATAGGGTCAAAATGGGTCAAAGTAGGACCAATATAGGTTCAAATTAGGGTCAAATTATGTTCAATGTAGAGTCAAGGTAAGGTCAAAGTAGGTTCTAGGTATCGTCAAATTAGGTTCAATTTAGGCTCAAAGTAGATTTAATGTATGGTCAAAGTAGGTCCAATGTAGGTTCAAAATAGGATCAAAAAGGGGCAAAGTAGGTTCAACATAAGTTCAAAACAGGGTCAAATCAGTTTTAATGTAGAGTCAAATTAGGGTCAAAGTAGATTTAATGTAGGGTCAAAGTAGATCCAATGTAGGTTCAAAATAGGGTCAAAAAGGGTCAAAGTAGGAGCAATATAGGTTCAAATTAGGGTCAAGTTATGATCAATGTAGAGTCAAAGTAGAGTCAAGGTAAGGTCAAAGTAGGTTCTAGGTAGAGTCAAATAAGGTTCAATTTAGGGTCAAAGTAAGTCCAATGTAGGTTTCAAATAGGGTCAAAAAAGGGTCAAAGTAAGATCAATATAGGTTTAAAACAGTGTCAAATTAGTTTCAATGTAGAGTCAATATAAGGTCAAAGAAGGTCCAATGTAGGTTCAAAATAGGATCAAAAAGGGTCAAAGTAGGTTTAATATAAGTTCAAAACAGGGTCAAATTAGTTTCAATGTAGAGTCAAATTAGGGTCAAAGTAGATTTAATGTAGGGTCAAAAAGGGTCAAAGTAGGACCAATATAGGTTCAAATTAGGTTCAAATTATGTTCAATGTAGAGTCAAAGTAGAGTCAAGGTAAGGTCAAAGTTGCTTCTAGGTAGCGTCAAATTAGGTTCAATTTAGGGTCAAAGTAGATTTAATGTAGGGTCAAAGTAGGTCCAATGTAGGTTTCAAATAGGATCAAAAAGGGGTCAAAGTAAGACCAATATAGATTTAAAACAGTGTCAAATTAGTGTCAATGTAGAGTCAATGTAAGGTCAAAGAAGGTGCAATTTAGCGTCATAGTAGGTTCAATTCAGGGTTAAAGTAGATTTAATGTAGGGTCAAAGTAGTTCCAATGAAGATTTAAAATAGGATCAAATTAAGTGCAATATATAACCACATAGATTTATATATTTTATTATATTACATATAAACATTTTTATACAAATTTTGTTTCTATAAATTGTTTAAAGTCTATTTATATATATTTATTTATACATATAATATGTTAAAAAAAATAATTTAAATAATTAATTAATAAAAAAAAACATTTAATTATTCCTTTATATTAAACCTCTACTTCTAAAATTGCGTTTGAACTATCAAAATAGCGAATGCATTGTCCTTTTATGCAAGCCTGTAAAAAAGAAATTATTTTTAATTATTATTATTCTAATTTTTTTTTAAAAATTTAAAAAAATATTTCAATTATTTTAATATTTAAATACTTTGAGTGTATAATGACTATAATAATATAATTATAATATTATATTATTATTATTATTATTATGCTTACTTTATTTTTTCCACAAATAGTGCCTTCAGCTGGTGGAAAAAAAAGTTCATCACAATCATGTTCAAATCCAGGACGACCATTGCAAATAAGTTTTATGCACCTTCTTGTATCATTATGCTTTAAATTAGAGTAAAAATAATTAAATTTTTTTTTTCAATAATAGTGACAATTAGTAATAAAAATAAATTAAAAAATTTATTTTTAAATTTACATATATTATTATATTTTATATATTAATTGTACATACAATTCTATGATAACAAGCTTTGGTTCCAGCTTCTCTTAAACATTGTTCATCCATTGTCATAAATCTGCCGGGTAATGGTACTGTCATAGGTTCATTTTCCAATGGATTATTACGAAGACATTTTGCATTCTCTGATCTGTGAGGAATTTTGAAAAAAATAAATAAATTTTTTTACAAATGAAAACAAAAATAAAATAGAATAAAGGCTCAATGCAGAAGTAATACAGGGTTAAATAAAGTTTAATGTAGATTAAATACAGGTTGAATGGAGGTTCTAAGTAGGTCTAAAGTAGGTACAATATAGGTCTAATAGTATGGTTAAGGTAGGCCCAAAGTAGGTTCAAAGTAGATCTAATGCAGGATCAAAGTAGAGTTACAGTAGGGTCAAAGTAGGGTTAACGTAGGATCAAAGTAGGTTCTATGTAGGGGTAAAGTAGAATCCATATTCGGGCAAAGTATATATAATTTAGGCTCAAATTAGGATTCAAGTAGATCCAATGTAGGTTCAAAGTAGGGTTAATAAAGAGTCTAAGTAGGTCCAATCTTGGTTCAAATTGAGTCAAGTTAGGTTCAATCGAGGGTCAAAGTAGTATCAGAGAAGGTCATCTGTGTGGTTAAAGTAGATGCCATATAGGGTCAAATTAGAATCAAAGTAGGTCCAATGTAGGTTTAATTCAGACTCAAAATAGCATTAAAGTAGGTTCAATGTAGGTTCAAAGTAGAGTCAGTAAAAGGTCAAAGTAGGTGAAATGTAGAATCAATGTAGATTTAATTTAAGGTCAAAGTAGTCTTAATGTAGGGTTAAAGTAGGTCCTATATAGGTTTAGAATAGGGTTAATAAAGTGTCAAATTAGTTCAATTTAGGTCAAAGTAGATTTTCTATAGGGTCAAAAATGTAGGGTCAAATTAGTTAAATGTAGGGTTAAAGTAGGTCCTATGTAGGTTTAGAATAGGGTTAATAAAAGGTCAAAGTAGTTCAATTTAGGGTCAAAGTAGAGTTACAGTAGGGTCAAAATAGGGTCAACGGAGGATCCAAGTAGGTTCTATGTAGGGTTAAAGTAGATTCCATATTAGGGCAAAGTAAATATAATTTAGGCTCAAATTAGGATTCAAGTACGTGCAATGTAGGTTCAAAGTAGGGTTAATAAAGAGTCTAAGTAGGTCCAATGTTGGTTTAAATTGATTCAAGTTAGGTTTAATCTAGGGTCAAAGTAGGATCAGAGAAGGTCTTCTGTATGGTTTATGTAGAAACCATATAGGGTCAAAGTAGGTTCAATTTAGAGTTAAATTAGAATCAAAGTAGGTTCAATGTATGTCTAATTGAGACTCAAATTAGCATTAAAGTAGGTTCAATGTAGGTTCAAAGTAGAGTCAATAAAAGGTCAAAGTAGGCCCAATGTAGGTTAAAAAGTAGGGTCAAAGTATGTGAAATGTAGAATCAATGTAGGTTTTATTTAGGGTCAAAGTAGTCTCAATGTAGGGTTAAAGTAGGTCCTATGTAGGTTTAGAATAAGATTAATAAAGGGTCAAAGTAGTTCAATTTAGGGTCAAAGTAGAGTTACAGTAGGGTCAAAATAGGGTCAACGGAGGATCAAAGTAGGTTCTATGTAGGGTTAAAGTAGATTCCATATTAGGGCAAAGTAGATATAATATAGGCTCAAATTAGGATCCTAGTAGGTCCAATTTAGGTTCAAAGTATGGTTAATAAAGAGTCTAAGTAGGTCCAATGTTGGTTCAAATTGATTCAAGTTAGGTTTAATCTAGGGTCAAAGTAGGATCAATGTAGGGTTAAAGTAGGTCCTATGTAGGTTTAGAATAGGGTTAATAAAGGGTCAAAGTAGTTTAATTTTGGGTCAAAGTAGATTTAATCTAGGGTCAAAAAGGTAGGGTCAAATTAGATTTAATGCAGGGTCAAAGTAGGGTTAAAGTAGTTCCTATGTATTCTCAAATTAGGATCAAAGTTAAGTTAATGTAGGGTAAAAATATAATCCATGTAGGGTCAAAGTAGATTTAATGTTGGGTCAAAGTAGGGGCAAAGTACTTTCTATGTAGAGTCAAATTAGGTTCAAATTAGAATCAATGTAGATTCAACGTACCTTAAAAATTTTGATATTACTCTTCGGCTGCAAGGTGAAAATTTTATTCTGTTTATGAATTGACCGTAATAAGACATTATGTCACCATTTTCACCCAATGCACATTCTGAATTGTCTCCGTTAAGGTGATTTGCACCAAATCTAAAAAAAAATATTTTTATTTAAAAATATTATTATTATATTATCAACAAATGTTAAATTTTTGAAAATTAAAAAAAAAACAAAAAAAAAATTTTCTTACACGTGACCTAATTCATGTGTTGCTACATGAATTCCACTATATGCACCATTGTCCGCCACAATAGCAGTAGCTTTTATCATTTCTTTCCAGTCTTCAATAGTTTTTTTACACGCTTGACCAACATATGCACGACCTAAAAAAAAAAAAATTTTTTTTTTTTTTACAATATATAGAATCTATAATATTAATAATAATAATAAAAATTCGATTTATTTTCCATTAATTTATTATATTTTCTTAAAATTCTTACCATAAACTTGTATTCCATTGGATTGAATCATTATTGATCTGAAATTATTTTTTATTTTTTAATATATATTATTTTCATTAGATCAATAATAATTGTAAAAGTATGTTATATATATGTAATTTTTTTTTTTTTTTTTTTTTTTTTTTTTTTATTTTAAGTAAATATTTTCTCACCCAGTCATAAATACAGCTATATCATAATTTTTTGTGAATCTAAATTTTCTATTCATTTTTCCTAAATGAAATGAAAACTCTTCTAAAAGTTTTTCTGGTCTTGTTCCATTTGTTTCAACGCCTGGTAACATGTCTGATATCGCATTCTTTAGAAAATAATAATATTAATTAATAAAATTTTAATTTATCACTCGGTAAAATAATATTTATAATTTTCATTCCATATTATACCCCCACCCCCATCATAATTGAATTAATTTTTTTTTATATAGTTATTAGTTAAATATTATCCCATAATATGGGGCAATATTGTATAGTTATTTGTTCAATATTACCCCATAATGTTTGAAGGTAATATTGTACAACTATTTGTTCAATATTACCCCATAATATTTGGGGTAATATTGTATAGTTATTAGTTCAATATTACCCCATAATATTTGGGGTAATATTGTATAGTTATTAGTTCAATATTACCCCATAATATTTGGGGTAATATTGTATAGTTATTAATTCAATATTACCCTATAATAATGGATCGTTATTACCCCAATTTCTCGAAAAAATAATATTGCCACCGCCTTTATCGTTGTGGAAATATTTGATTATATAATATTAGTTCAATATTACCCCATTATATGGGGCAATATTGTATTGTTATTAGTTTAATATTACCCCACAATTCTGGGGCAATATTGTATAGTTATTTGTTCAATATTACCCCATAATGTTTGGAGGTAATATTGTACAACTATTTGTTCAATATTACCCCATAATATTTTGGGTAATAATGTATAGTTATTAGTTCAATATTACCCCATAATGTTTGGGGTAATATTGTACAATTATTTGTTCAAAATCACCCCATAATATTTGGGGTAATATTGTATAGTTATTAGTTCAATATTACCCCATAATGTTTTGGGGTAATATTGTAAAGAAAAATAAAAAATAATTTCTTACATTAACGATGACAATTCCATTAATTCGAAAACGAATTTTAGGATGTTGAAAATCTCTATATCGTAAATCAACTCCATAATATGTTGTTATTATATATTTTAAAGTGCGTTGAATGTCTTTGTCAAATTTTCTAAAAACAGAAAACAAAGTAAATAGCAAATAAATCTTTTTTTTAATCATAAAATAGAAAAAAAAAATTTTCTTTCTCTTTTTAATATATACATACATAAATAGGGTTTCATCAATGTAAATTAATAATTCAGGATAAACAGTTGAAATTTTTGAATTCTTGGTATTTGTATATAAATTCTCATCTTTCTTCTCTAGTGATTTTTCTTTTTTATATAATTCTACGTTAAAACATGAAAAAAAAGGAAGAAAATTTAAATTATTTTTGAAAATTTCAAAGAAAAAACTGTTTTTTCAAATTTCTTTTAAAATTAAATAAAAAAAAAAACTTACTAATTTTTTTCATATTATTTTTTTCACTATAACTCCATGCATTGATAATATGAGGTCGCATTTTCATTGATGAATCATAATAATTAGTTGATAATTTTCTATTTCTCGGATCATCATCTGGTAATGGTTGTATTGTAATTTCATCGCCAATTGTGCCTTGCTTTGATGGATGAAAATTATTATTATTATTATTATTTTTTTTTAATTTTATTATTTATTTATTATAATATAATTATAATAACAATACATTACTATGGGGTAATATTGAACTAATAAATTATTAATTCAATATTACCCCATAATATTTGGGGCAATATTGTATCGTTAGGGTAAAACTTGCCCCATAATATTTTTGAGACCGAATTATATCGATATTAGTTCAATATTACCCCATAATATTGTATTGTTATTAGTTCAATAATACCCCATTATATTGTATTGTTATTAGTTCAATATTACCCCATAGTATTTGGGGTAATATTACCCATCAATATTTAGGGTAATATTACTCCTTAATAATTAGGGCAATATTACCCCTTAATATTTGAGGGCAATATTTTATAGTTATTAGTTCAATATTACCCCATAATATTTGGGGTAATATTGTATTGTTATTAGTTCAATATAACCCCATAATATTTGGGGTAATATTGTATTGTTAGGGTTAAACTTGCCCCATAATATTTTTGAAGCCGAATTGTATGGATATTAGTTCAATATTACCCCATAATATTTGGGGTAATATTGTATTGTTATTAGTTCAATATTACCCCTTTGTATTTGGGGTAATATTACCTCTTAATATTTAGAGTAATATTACCCCTTAATATTTGTGGCCGATTTTTTATAGTTATTAGTTCAATATTACCCCATAATAATGAATTGTCATCTATAAATGTAGTTTAAGGTTATGTTTACATACCATAATTAAATTACCATCCTCGTCTGTTGTCAAATAAACAGTTGCATTATTTTTATCGTCAACATAAAAGTCTTTTAGATTTTTTATTGCCTTAAAAAAAAATTATATAAAAATTTTAATTTTTAAAAAAAAAGAAATTAATTAATTAGTAGAAAAATTTTAATAAAAAAAAAAAAAAAAAAAAAAAAATTTTTTTCAAATAATTATAAATTGTTTTATACATTTGGAATAAGATGATAACGATAACCATTTGGTGAATTTTTATCTGATTTTGTCATCCAAACCATTGTATGAGTTCCAATTAAAGTTGAATCAGCTGGTTGTAAATAAAGATCAATATTTTTTCCATTATCATATGGTATAGTAATTATTTTTTCCGTTGATCGTTTATTAATTCTTTTTTCTATTGGATATACAATTTTATCATGTGTCAAGGTTTCACGTAACTGTTACCAAAAAAATAAAAATAAATAAAAATCATTTATTATTCAATAAAATCAAAATAAATTTTTTTTAAATGTTCATTAAAATTTTATGATGTTGTAAAAAAAAATTAAGTAATACTTTTTCTTAAGTGCTTTTATTATATATAAATATGTATTTTTTTTATATTTTTAATTATTTAAAATATTAAATTTATTTATCAATTAATTATTAAACTGATTAAATAATTAATAATAATAAATTAATTTAATTAATTAAATTTAATGAAAAATAAATAAAAATAATAATAAAAATAAAGTACAACATTATAAAATATAAGAACATATAATTGTAACATTTACTTTATATTATAATAATTATAAAAATATATTAATAAAACACTCACCAGGAAAGAATAAACAAGAGGCGACAGTATAATGTAGAAAAATATGTGATAAAGTAACATTTTTTTTTTATTTATTTATTTATTTTAAAAAACTAAATAATTTTTTGCCTGAAAAAAAAATCCAAAAATTAACTATAATTTATTAATTACGATTAAAATTCTAGTTAATTTAAATAAATTATTTAAATTTTTTTTTAAATTAAGATTGAAAAAAAAATTTTTTTATTTAATTAATTTTTGTACTAATAATTAATAATTTATTAGTAATTATCTATTTAATTTTTTTTATTTATTTCAAAATGAGTTTCCGTAGTCCAAATGAAACATTAAGTAATTATTAATTATTTAGTAATTAATTACAAATTAATAATTATTAATAAAAAATTTTTAAGTATTTAGTAATAATTAATTAATAATAACTAATTTTTATTAATTTATTAATTATTAATTTGTACCTAGTTAATTAATAACAGTTAATTATTAATAATAAATTAGTAATTAATTTATTAATAATTAATTAATAATAATTGGTTAGTAATTATAATTAGTAATTAATAATTAATTAGTAATTAGTAATTAATAATTAATTAGTAGTTAGTAATTAATAATTAATTAGTAGTTAGTAATTAATTATTAAGTAGTAATTAATTAGTAATTTGTAAGTAGTAATTAATTTGCAATTAGTAATTAATAATTAATTGGTAATTAGTAATTAATAATTAATTAGTAATTAGTAATTAATAATTATTTATTAATTAGTAATTAATAATTATTTACTAATTAGTAATTAATAATTATTTATTAATTAGTAATTAATTAGTAATTATTAATTAATTAGTCATTACTTAGTAGTTAGTAATTAATTAGTAAGTAGTAATTAATTAGTAATTAGTAATTAATTAGTAATTAGTAATTAATAATTAATTAGTAATTAGTAATTAATAATTAATTAGTAATTAGTTATTAATAAATAATTAGTAATTAGTAATTAATTAGTAATTAATAAATAATTAGTAATTAAAAGAAATTAATAAATAATGAGTAATAAATTAGTAATTAATAAATAATTAGTAATTAATTAGTAATTAATTAATAATTACTAATTAATTAGTAATTAATTAATAATTAGTAATTAATTAGTAATTAATTAGTAATTAATTAATAATTAGTAATTAGTTAATAAATAATTACAAATTAATAATTAATTACTAATTATAATTACTAACCAATTATTATTAATTAATAATTATAAATTAATATATATATATATATATATATATATATATATATATATATATATATATATATATATATATATATATATATATTATTAATTAATTATTATATAAAAAACAATAGTTTTTACCTGTTGTTATTGAATTGTAGTATCACACTTAAATTATTATTAATATAATCTTTGAGATAGTACTGAGAAGGAATATTATAATTTTTCTTTTTTTATACTGTTAAATTGATAATATATTTCAAAAATTCAATTGTGCAAATGAATAGAAATTAAAAGAAATAAATTAACTTTAACAAAAATGTGTCAACATTATTGTTCTATTTATTTCAATTAACGTTAATTGATGACGTCTGAAAAAAAAGGAAGTGCGTCAAATTTTGTTGAATATCAATAAATATTGATTCGAAAAAAAAAAAATTATTACGTAAATTTTAATATTTAAATCCATATTTTAAATATAAAGAAAAAATCCCAATGAATTAAATGAAAATTTATAATTTTTTAATAATAAAAAAAAAAATTTTTTCTATTAATTTTTTTTTCAACAATTACATATATATATATATATATATATATATATATATATATACATTACAATTACATTAATATTAACTATAAAGTTTATTTGTTTTAAGACATCAGAGGTTGCGATACATTTAAATATTTAATATTAACTAAGAATAATATTTTACGAAATTTATTCTTTTATATATTTATTTGTTTAATTTTTTTTTTTCCTTCAATAATAACTAATCACTCCAGGTACAATTGATGATGTTTTACTGACACATTCTCCATTGAGGCAGATCTAAAAAAAAAAGGAGGAAAAAAAAAACATTTATTCATTGACGAAAAAAGACAAATTCTAATAAATCATTATATTGACATTTTTTTTTTTTAAATTATTTTTAAAAAAGACTTTAATCAAAGAAAAAGCATTAGAATAGAAGAGAAATTTTTTTTAATATTAAAAAAAAAAATATATTTTAAAAAATAATTTGTTTAAAAAAAAATATTTTTTTAATATTAAAAAAAAAAAATATTTTAAAATATAATTTGTTTAAAAAAAATTTCTTTTTAATATTCAAAAAAAATATTTTAGAAAAATAATTTGTTTAAAAAGAAATATTTTTTTTTTAAATTTGAAAATGAGTTATTAAATTATTTATTATTACTTTATTATCATCGCATGTCGATCCTTCGGCAGCTGGATTTTTTGAAATGCAAACACCTCTTTTTGTTAAATCCGGATGCTTACAAAATAAAGCGACACAAACATTTCGTTGTTCCTGTAATAATTAATATTATTAATTAATAATTAAATGATGCCTAATTCAATTTATTGTTAAAATTATTAATTAATAGACAATTAATTATTCATTTAATTAATTAATAATTAATTTAGAATAATTAATAATAAATCAATTAATAATTAATTAGGAATAATTAATAATGAATCAATTAATAATTAATTAAGTAAGACAGAGAAAGTAAATAAAGTTATATATTACCTAAATAATTATTAATTAATTTCTCTTTATTAATTATTAAATAATTAATTATTACCTAAGTAGGTATTCATGATTGGTTATTAATTAAAATCTAATTAGTTGTTAATTAATACCTAATTGTTTATTAATTATTATTTAATTATATATATATATATATATTAATTTTTAATTAACTGCTTTTTATTATTTACTTAGTAATTAATTATTAAATAATTAGTTATTAACTTATTAGTTAATTAATAATTAATTATTTACTTATTAATTAAAATCTAATTAGTTGTTAATTAATACCTAATTGTTTATTAATTATTATTTACTTATATATTAATTTTTAATTAACTGCATTTTATTATTTACTTAGTAATTAATTATTAAATAATTAGTTATTAACTAATTAGTTAATTAATAATTAATTATTTAGTTATTAATTATTACCTAATTGTATATTTATTATTAATTAATTATTAATAATTAATAATTAATTAATAATAAATTAATAATTAATTATTCATAATTAGTTAGTAATAAATTAATAATTGTTTAATTACCAACTTATTACTAATTAATTAACGATTAATTAGTAATTGATTAATATTTTTTAGTTAAATAATTAACAATTAATTTAATTAATATTAATTAGATAATTGAATAGAAACTAATTAATTAATTATTGATTAATTGATAATTATTATAATTTATTTGGATTATTTTTCTTGTCAGACTATTGTCAGGAAAAAGAAAAAAATTTTTTTACAACTATTTCTATGTGCATTGATTTTTAAAAATTAATTAAAACTTACTCCACAACTTTTGGTATTTGACATTGCCATGCATTGATCGTCTAATGATAAATATGTACCGGGTAAAATTTTTGGCAATGGTTTATCCACTGGTGGAGAATTATAAAGACAATTTCTCTTCTCATCGCTAAATTAAAAAGAAGAAAAAAAAATTAATAAATAAATAAATAACAAAATTTTTTTTTTTTTTTTGACATCATATAGAAAATCGAATGTTTGAAATAGAATTTTTTTTTCCGTAATTGATATATACGTACTTAATAAAACTTCTCAATTCCTCTTGACTGCATGGTGAGAAACGCAATTTATTTACATCTTTACCATCGTAACTCATAATGTAACCCTTGTCCCAATTGCATGCTTCCGGTCCTTCTTTCATATTATCATGTTCAGCACCCATACTAATTAGAAAATTAAATTATTATTATTACTGATTTAGAAACAAAAAATTATTTCCTTCTTTAATTTTTTATATTAAAAAAAAAAAATTCTATTTTTCATATGAAAAAAATTCTCTTTTTTAATTTTAAATATATAAAAAAAAAATTTCCTTTTTTAATTTTAAATATAAAAAAAAAATTCTTTTTTTAATTTTATATGTAAAAAAAAATTCCCTTTACAATTTTACATGTAAAAAAATGCCCTTTTTAATTTTACATATAAAGAAAATGCAAATTGAAAAAAAAAATTAATAAAACACTAAAAGAATTAAGTAGTTAAACACTATGTAAACGTCGTTTATATTTTTTTTCGGCGCCTAGGTTGAGAACATTGCGCGCGCAGCAGGCGAGTGGTGAGGGAGAAGAGCTCTGATTAGTCGTTGCGCGCTCCCCACCACTTCTAGCATGCTGCGCGCGCAGTGTTCTCAACCTAGGCGCCGAAAGATGTAAAAGTTTTTTTTTTTTTTTTTTACTAAATTTGTTTAATTAAATATATTTGCCACCGGTCAAATTATAATATATAAAAAAAAATAAAAAAAATTAATAATAAAATTTTTAAAAAAAATTATTTTTTTTTTTTTTGACTAAATTTGTTTAATTAAATATTTTCTAATATATTACTTAATATATTAATTTACAATATAGAAAAATAATAATTACCAACAAAAAATTAATGAATAATAAAATTTTTAAAAAAATTAATATTTTTTTTTTGCAAAAAAAAAAACAGTAAGAAAAATTAATATATAAAACGTACACATGGGCCAATTCGTGAGCACCATTGATTACTCCATTAAAAGAGCCATCATCCTCAATGAGACCCAATGATCGTACACCTCTAAAGTCCTTTCTACATGCACCCTGAAAATATGCAATTCCTTCCAAAAAAAAAAAAATTTTTTCTAATTAATTTCTTTTTTTTCTTTTAGTAACCAACAATTTTTCTTTTCTAAATATTATTTAATTATTTCTTTTATAAATATTAATAACAATATAATTAAAAAAAAAAAAAAAAAAAAAAAAAAAAAAAATTGAAACAATTTTTGAAAAAACAATATAAAAAATTTTTTTTTTAATTTACCTGCCACATCTTTTTCATATGTTCCATCTTCATTTTTTACTTCCAGGTCCATTCTTTTTACATCAAATAAAAAAGAAATTTATTAATTAAAAAATAATTTTAAAAAATTTATTTATTTATATTTTATTGGATAAAATTTTTTTTACCATTACTGTGTTTCCTTGATAAAAAAAATTAATTTAATTTTATTTTTGTTGTTTTAAATAATAAAAAACTTTCTTTATTTATTTTTTTTTTATTTTATTATTACCCTGTTATGTATAATGCGATGTCATAATCCTTCTTGAAGGTGAATTGCTTCTCTTCCACCAAAAACTTTGCAATATCATCCAATGACTCATCCACCGATAAATGTCTTTCTCTTATGTAGGTTTTTAAAAATAAACTAAATCCCTGTAATTTATATAAACAATAATATTAAAATAAATAATAAAAAAAAATATTTTAAAAATATATTAAAAAAAAAAAATTAAAAAAAAAAAATATTTATTATATATTTATATATATTTATTTATTAAAAATATATTTTTTATTTTATTTTTTTATTATTATTATTATAATTATTTAAATTTTCAAAAAATATTAATATAAAAAATAAAAAAAAATATAATAAAAATAATTCTTTTTTTAATATTATAATTTTTATAATAAAAAAAATTATATATTAATATCAATATAATTGAATTTTTTTTTTTAAGTTACATCAATTAAAACAATTCCAGCAACGTTTAGACGAATTTTTGGACGTTCAATTGCTCTGTATCTTAGATCAATTCCATTAAACAAACTTGCGATATAACCCACTGCTTTTGTTACATTTCTATTAAAAACACTAAAAAAAAAAAAAAATTTATTATAATAACCATATTAATTAAATTTTTTTTTTAAATCATTAAATTAATTTTTATTATCATTATTAAAATTACCAAAAAAAATTAAAATTAATTTATAAAAAAAAAAATATATATATTTATTAATTTTTTAATAACTCACTTAAATAATTTCTGATCAATAAATACTAAAATTTCCGGATAGACAACATTTGGAGCTGATCGTTTTGTTCTTTTATTTATATTTTGCGAAACTATTTCTTCATTATCATATTTCTTGGATGCTATTTATTTATTTATTTATTTATTTAAAAAAAAAGAATAAATTTCATTAATTTCTTTTTTTTCATTTTTTTATATTTAATATATTGTATAGATAATATTATATGAATTTAAATTATATTTACCAAAAATAAAAAAGAAAAAAAAATTTTTTTTATATAATACACATAAATGTAGTAATAATGATGAAACTTACAAAATAGTTTGGTAATATTTAAAGATGGTTCGGCAATTTTAAAAACAATGTGATCAGGTAAATTTAAATAATTAACGTCTGAATTATTTGAAACATTACGACGAAAACGATGTCTTCTTGGTATTGGTTTTATACCAAAGAAACGTCCAAATATGCCGTCCTGCAAAAAAATGGAAAAAAAAAAATTTTCATTTTTTGTAAATCAAAAATTTTTTTTTGAAATTTTTTTTTTTTATAAAAACATTTTAAATAACTTTTTATGTTTTACGTCTTACGTTTTACGTCATACGTTTTACGTTATGCAACTTACGTCTTACGTTATACGTTATGCGTCTTAGGCTATACGTCTTACTATCAACTTTGTTATACGTCGTACGTCTCACGTCTTACTTTCAACTTTGTACGTTTTACGTCATACGTGTTACGTTATACGTGTTACTTTCAACTTTGTACGTTATACGTATAACGTTTTACGTGTTACGTTATACGTCATACGTGTTACGCTAAACGTCGTACGTCTCACGTCTTACTTTCAACTTTTTACGTTATACATCATACGTTATGCGTCTTACGTTATACGTCTTACGTTATACGTCTTACATTCAACATTGTACGTGTTACGTTTCATGTACGTCTTACGGTATACATTTTACGTTATACGTCGTACGTCTCACGTTATACGTTATGAGGCTTACGTTACACGTGTCATACGTCTTACGTTACACGTCTTACGTTATACGTTATGCGTCTTACGTTATACGTCATACGTGTTACGCTAAACGTCGTACGTCTCACGTCTTACTTTCAACTTTTTACGTTATACATCATACGTTATGCGTCTTACGTTATACGTCTTACGTTATACGTCTTACATTCAACATGTTACGTGTTATGTTACATGTACGTCTTACGGTATACGTCTTACGTTATACGTTATGCGTCTTACGTTATACGTCTTACGTTATACGTCTTACATTCAACATTGTACGTGATACGTTTCATGTACGTCTTACGTTATGCGTCTTACATTATACGTCTTACATTCAACATGGTACGTGTTATGTTACATGTACGTCTTACGGTATACGTCTTACGTTATACGTTATGCGTCTTACGTTATACGTCTTACATTCAACATTGTACGTGATACGTTTCATGTACGTCTTACGGTATACGTCTTACGTTATACGTCGTACGTCTCACGTTATACGTTATGAGGCTTACGTTACACGTGTCGTTCGTCTTACGTTATGCGTCTTACATTATACGTCTTACATTCAACATGGTACGTGTTATGTTACATGTACGTCTTACGGTATACGTCTTACGTTATACGTTATGAGGCTTACGTTACACATGTTACGTTATAAGACGTACGTTATACGTCGTACGTGTTACGTTATACGTCTTACGTCGTACATCATAAGTTACACGTTTTAAGCCTTACGTTATACGCCGTATGTGTTACGTTATACGTCGTACGTGTTACGTTATACGTCGTACGTGTTACATTGTGTCCACAATAGAACAAAAACATGAAAGTAAACGTAACGTATCCATTAAAAATACATTGTGACGTTACGTATACGTTCATGTTTCTGGTCTATTCTGGACAGGCCCTTACGTTATACGTCGTACGTCTTACGTTTTATCGTGTTACGTCTTACGTTATACGTTTTACGTCTTACGTTACACGTGTAACGTGTTACGTTTTACGTAAAAAAAATTTAATCACATTAAAAATCTTAAACAAAAAAAAAATTTTTGTTTACTCACAAACTCTTTATTTCCCTCTTCGTCAGTTTTTACCGTGATTGCTGCATCATTTTTTACATCTTGATACAATTGACCAATATTTTTCATTGCCTAATAAGTTTTGTAAATATATTATATATTTTATATTAAAAATTAAATTAATTAATTAAATTAATTATTTATTTGAAAATTAGTTTTATTAATTTTATTAATTATTTTTCCATTTATTTTTGAAAATAAGTGAATAATTTTTTTTGTATAATAAAAGAAAAAAGAAAAAAAAAAAATTTTTACACACATCTGGAACCTCTGTATAATCGAGACCATTAAATGTACTCTTGGCCTTCCAAACTTTTGTATGTTCACCAATTAATAAACCTTCGACTGGTTCTAGATATAATGTTTTTTCTTGATTAAAAATTCGTGCTCTTAATATTGTTGTTGCTCTTTTATGAATTTTGTGTTTAACTTTAACTACTTCGTATTCTGGTACTAAAATTAAAAAAATTGTTTTTTTTTTTTAATATCTAAATTATGTTAGTAATTTTTATTTAAAAAAATTTTTTTTATTACTTATTATTATGTTAGTGTTTTTTTTTTTATTTAAAAAAAAATAATACAATATTAAATTTAATTAACTAATATAATTTTAGAAAATTTTAATTACCAGCTTCAGGTGTGGTTTGAAATATCTCTTTAATTTCATCTTTTGTCATATCTTCATGAAACTTGTTGAAAAATAAAATTTTTTTATTAAAATTAAAAAATAAAAAAAAAATTCAATTATTGGATTAATAAATGCATTGCAATTAATTAAAAAACAATTATTAATTAATTGTTTAAACAATGATAAACAAATTTTATAAATAATTTGTTTAAATTAACAAAAAAAAACAACATAGAAATTTTAAACAAAATTTTCCAATTTATTTAAATATAAATAAATATACGAAATATAAATAAATAATATAAATAAATAAATAATATAAATAAATAATTAATTAAATATAAATAAATATAAAATATAAAAATAAATTAATAAATAAATAATTTATGAACAATTTATAAATAATTTAATTAAATTTTTATTAAAAAAATTTTTTTTTTAATTGAAAATCAAAAAAAAAATTATTTCTAACAAAATAGAAATAAATTTTCTTCTTTAATTTCACAAAAAATAGAAATTTATTTCAGTATGGTAAATTTTACCTTCCATGATTGTGTAAATGGCACAAGAAACGCGCAAAAAAGCGTCACAAAAAGCATCATTTTTTTTTTTTGAATTTATTTTTTAATTTTTTTTTAAATTTTTTTAAAAATACCTCCAAATAGTTAAAAACAAAAATGTATTTAAAAAAATAAATAAATAAAATTTTTACTATTAATACAAGTGAAAAATATTTTTTTTTTTTTGTTTAAAGAAATTAATTTTTTTTTTCAATGAAATTTTTTTTAAACAATATTGACGAAAAATTGTGAATTTCCTTGATTTTAAATAGCATTTTTTTGTGACGTCTTAATTTAAAAAGAAAAAAAAAGAAAATTAATTCTATTGTTAATTATCCAAATAAACATTAAAAATAAAACATATGCGTAATTATTTATTAAGAAAAAAAAACAGTTGAAAAAAAAAATAATTTTTCTACATGAATAAATAATCCATTTAGTTGTAAATTTTGAATATTTGGCAATGCAAATATTGTGCGTGCATATATTTTTCTTTTTCTTTAAAATTTTTTTTTTTTTTAATTTTATTGTGCATTCAGGAAATTTAGCAATTCGTAGTTATAGTATTATATTATATTATATTTATAATAATAAAATTATAATAGAAAAATAAAAAAAAAAATTTTTTATAATAAATTAAAAAAATTTTTTTTTTTTAGAATAAATAAAAAAGTTAATTAATTAAATATTTTTTAATTTTTCGTGTTTTAAAATTAATAAATTTTTTTTTTACATAATTTCCTGCATTATGTGTGAAAAATAAAGAAAAAATTGATGGAATTATTTATGGAATTTCTCAATTTTCTTGGAATTTTATTGCCCTTTTGGATTCGCAGGTAGTCGAGGGTTTTTGTTTAATTTTGATTTTCGTCCTTCCTTCATCAGTTAGTAGTGAAACGTCCTTTTAATTATCAACATAAAATTTCTTAATCTCCTCAATTTTTCTTCAAGAAAAAAAAAAATTTTTAATTTTAACTTCAGTGCGCGATATATTTTTTTTTTATTTCATTAAAAAAGTGTAAATTTTTTTTTTCAACATTTTCCATAATTTTTATTTATTTATTTATTTTGCTTTTGCTTTTGTTAACCAAATAAATATTCGAAAAGTGATTTTTTTTCGCTTCACTCAGAACCACGTGGAATCGATATCAATAATTCGTAAGTCAGCATTGAAAATAAATTTTTTTATAAATTTTCATAATTATAAAATTTAATTACAAAAAAAATATTTGTGTCATTTTACTCCGTTCAACTAATTAAAAAAAAAAAAAAAAAAAAAAAAAAAAAAAAAAAAAAAAAAAAAAAAAAATTAGGTAACTAAAATTCGTATACCATTTTACCCCTTAGCTTGATGTCATTTTACCCCATAATTGATGTCATATTACCCCGCTTTGTTAATATTTTGCGCCTCTTTTTTTTTGTATATTATATTACTTCTAAATTTTAGTTTGCCTCCACTTAAGTATAATTTTGTAATTTGATGCCATTTTACCCCATCGTTGTAATCATTTACCCCATATTTGTACTTTTTACCCTTGCCTTTGTGCTATTTTTACCCCAATTTTTAAATCCTACATTTATGACAATTTACCCCTTTAATGATTTGTGTTATTTTACCCCCATGTAAATGACAATTTACCCCGTAATGACTTGTGTCATTTTACCCCATGTAAGTGACTATTCACCCCATAATTATTTGTGCTATTTTACCCCGTGTTGATGATACTTTACCTTATAATAATTTGTGTCATTTTACCCCGTATTGATGACAACTTACCCCATAAAAGATTTGTGTCATTTTACCCCGTGTTGATAATAATTTACCCCGCAATTAATTGTGTCATTTCACCCCATGTAAGTGGCGAATTACCCCATAATGATTTGTGTCATTTTACCCCGTGTTGATGACAATTTACCCCATATTTGTAATTATTTTTTTTGAACCTCGCCTCTCTGCGCTGTTTACCTTATCTGTAATTGAAAATTAATAATGTTTCTGAAATTTTGGAACTGATTTTAATTTTGTACCATTTTACCCCATTTTAGTAAAATTTTTATTGTTTTATGACAGTAAATAATCGAAAAATCTATAATTTCTTTTTCTTTTTTTTTAATTTAAAAATAATTTATTTCTATCTTTTTTTAAGGAAACATTTTTTGATATTAATAAACAAATTAAAAACAGCTGTATTGATAAAAATTCATAATTTAAAATTCTATTCAATAACTTTACATTTATTGTAAAAAAAATTTTTTTGTTATTGTAATTTTTCTTTTATATAAATTTTCTGATTTGCAAATTTATTAATATTTAATAAGTAAATATTTTGTTTTTTTTTTTTGCATAACAATAACTTTTACTTTTCAATTTAAATAAACAGTTGACAATGTAGTAAATGTGTTGAATTTTTATAAATTATCATAATTATAATATTTAATTTCTTCTTTCTGGCTTTTAAATTAAATTTCAAAAAAAAAAATTTCCAGTTTTTTTTTCGTGTACTGTGGAAATTTTTTTTGAAAGTTAAAGAATAATTTTTTTCAAAAAAAGAAGAAGCAATCCTTTTATAATATAAAATAAATTAAAAAAATATTTTTTTTTGTCAATAAATATAAAACTTTTATTAGTAAGAAAAAAATTTTTTTTTTATTAACAATTGGATAAAATAAATTAAAATACAGTAACTTTTTTTTCGGTTTACAATTTTCAATTTTTTTTCTCAATATTATAATGCTAATCCCATGCAGAATCCACTGAAACAAATCTTTAAAAAAAAAAAATTTTTTTTAAATTTTTGCAAGAAAAAAGATTTTTTAGTTTTTATTTTAAATTTTAGAAAAAAAAACAAATTCGAGTAAAATCAAAAAATTTTTTTTCATTACTTTTCCTTTTCCACATGGAGAACCATCAGCAGCAGGAGCTTTTCTGTATAAAGGAAATTTCCAAAATTGATGTTCTCTATCATTTTTACAACAAAGATTCACACAAATCCTTTCATCTTCCTATTAAAAAGAAAAAAAATCAATTTTTTTTATTACACTTATTAAATACTAGATTAATAAATTAATATTAATTTTATTTATTACTATTAATAATAATAATAATTTATTTCATAATTATTAATTAATTAATTAATTAAATATAATAAAAAATTTTAATAAACTTACATAACATGGTGTATTGCCATTACATTGTTCTTTTAATGATAAAAATTGTCCTGGCAATCGAATTTGTATTTTATGTTTATTTGTAAAATTATTCGGTAATGAATTTTTAACTAAAGGAACATTTTTCATACATGGAGATTTTCCAGATCTAAAATAATTATTTTTTAATTCAAAACATTTTTTTGAATTACTATTATTATTATTATTTTTTTTATTTATAAATAAACAAAAAAATTGAAAAATTAAAAAAAAAACTCACTGAATTTGATGTTGCATTCCAGTAATACTGCATTTTGAAAATGAAAACATTCTTTGTCCAATTTGCCCGCCCATAACGTAACCTTCATTTATTGAACATTTTTCTGATGGTGCATTGGGAGTTCCATCATGATCTGCTCCTAATCTTCAAAAAAAATAAATAAATAAATAAATAATAATAATAAAATCTTAATCTTAAAATTTAAATTTAAATTTTTACATCGTAATATATTTTTCAAATTATAAAATTAACAAAAGTTAATCAAACAACATAACTCTCTATATAAATAATAAAATTTTCCAAAAATTACCATAACTTTTCATAAATTACCATAAATTTCCATAAATTGCCAAAATTTACCAAAAATTTCTATAAATTATTATAATTTTCTATAAATTACCAAAACTTTTTAAAAATTACAATAACTTTCTATACAATACCAAAACTTTCCAGAAAATATCAAAAATTTCCATAAATTATCATAACTTTCTAAACATATTTAACAAAAATTTTATAAATTACCATAACTTTCCAAACGTCTACAACAAAACTTCCAAAAATTATCATAACTTTCTATAAATTACCAACATTTTCCAAAAATTACCATAACTTTCCATACATTGTCAAACCTAACAAAAATTTCCATAAATTACCATAACATTCTATAATTTACAATAACTTTCTATAAATTAATAAAAACTTTCTAAAAATTTCCATAAATTACCATAACTTTCAAAACATATTCAACAAAACTTCCAAACATTACCAAAACTTTCCGAAAATTACACTAACTTTCTATAAATTACCAAAAATTTCCATAAATTACCATAACTTTTAAAACATATTCAACAAAACTTCCAAACATTACCAAAACTTTCCAAAAAATACACTAACTTTCTATAAATTACCAAAATTTTCCACAAATTACCATAACTTTCAAAACATATTCAACGAAACTACTAAAATTACAATAAATTTCTGTAAATTACCAAAAAAATTTTAAAAAATTCCAAAAAAATTTCATAAATTACCATAACTTTCCAAACGTTTTCAACAAAACTACTAAAAATTACAATAACTTTCTATAAATTACCAAAATTTTCCAAAAATTACCACAACTTTCCATAAATTGCCAAAACATCCAAAATTTCCATAAATTACCATAACATTCTATAATTTACAATAACTTTATATAAATTAATAAAAACTTTCCAAAAAATACCATAAATTTCAAAACATATTCAACAAAACTTCCAAACGTTACCAAAACTTTCCGAAAATTACAATTACTTTCTATAAATTACCAAAATTTTCCATTAATTACCATAATTTTCAAAAAAATATTCAACGAAACTACTAAAAATTACAATAACTTTCTGTAAATTACTAAAAAAATTTCCAAAAATTACTAAAAAATTTCATAAATTACCATAACTTTCTAAACTTTTTCAACAAAACTACTAGAAATTATAATAACTTTCTATAAATTACCAAAATTTTCCAAAAATTACTAAAAAAAATGTCATAAATTACCATAACTTTCCAAACGTTTTCAACAAAACTTTCCAAAATTTACCATAAATTTCTGTAAATTATCAAAAATTTCCGAAAATTACTATAACTTTCTGTAAATTACCAAAATTTTCATAAATTACTATAACTTTCCAAACGTATTAAACGAAATTTCCAAAAATTACCATAACTTTCCATAAATTGACTTAGAATTTAGAAAAAATAATTTTTAAAAGTTTGCCTAATGTTACATAACTTTTCAGAAATTTCCAAAAAAAAAAAAAAAATTACAGTAACTTATGAAACAAAAATTTTTGTGAAAAAGAACATTAAAAAAAAGGACAATTTTTTTTTTCCTTACAAATGTGCTAATTCGTGGAATCCAGTTATAATTCCCCTGAAACCACCGTTATCTTCAAAAAGTCCAGTAGCCGTAACCATTTTGTTTACCTTACGACAAGCGCCACCATTGTGAGCGACTCCTGAATATAAAATTTAAAAAAAATCACTTTTTTTTAAGATAATAAAATTTAATTTTTTTTCTCTATATTGTTAAACAACATACCGTGAACTAATCTATCCCAACCATTTGATGTTTGAAATGACATGTCGTAACTAAGAAGAAGAATAATTTTTTTATTATTATTATTATTATTATTATTATTCTAAGCTATCTTTGTATATTTTACATTTTAATAAAAAAATTTTCAATAATTTATTATTGTATAAAATAAATGAATAAATAATAAAAAAAAAAAAAATAATAATATTCACCCAGTCATAAGTAGAGCTAAGTCATAATCCTCATTAACACGAAATTGAGCAGTCTCGTCTAGTTGATAAAAATAATCTCTCATTGCTTCCATTGCTTTATTTGCGATAATTATAGTTCCCTCTGCACTCGAGTTTTTAACAAATGGTAATGTATCCTTTTATATTTAGAACAGTTAATATAATTTTTTTTTTCTTCTAATTGTTAGTGTTTTTTTTTTATTTTTTATAAAAAATTATTATTATTATTATTATTATTTCTTTAATTAGTCACGGTTGCTATAGAAACCTGTTTTTTTAGTTATGGTTGCTATGGAAACTGTTTCCTTAGTTACGGTTGCTAAGGAAATTGTTTCCATAGTGATGGTTACTAAGGAAAGTTTCCCATAGCAACCGTTGCCAAGGAGACAGTTTCAATAGCGATCGTAACTAGGGAAACAGTTCCCATAGCAACAGTAACTAGGGAAAGTTTCCACAGCTGTTTCCCTACTTACGGTTGCTAGGGGCAACTTTCCATAGCAACCGTAACTAAGGAAACAGTTTCCCTAGCAACCGTAACTAAGGAGACAGTTTCCATAGCAACCGTAACTAGGGAAACAGTTCCCATGGCAGCCGTATCTAGGAAAACAGTTCCCATAGCAACCGTAACTAAGGAAACAGTTCCCCTAGCAACCGTTGCTAAGGAAACTGTTTTTCCAGTAACGGTTGCTAGGGGAAACTTTCCTTAGTAACCGTTACTATGGAAACTATTTCCTTAGCAACCGTAACTAAGGAGACAGTTTCCATAGCAACCGTAACTAAGGAGACAGTTTCCATAGCAACTGTAACTAAGGATACAGTTCCTATAGCAACCGTAACTAAGGAAACAGTTCCCCTAGCAACCGTTGCTAAGGAAACTGTTTTTCCAGTAACGGTTGCTAGGGGAAACTTTCCTTAGTAACCGTTACTATGGAAACTATTTCCTTAGCAACCGTAACTAAGGAGACAGTTTCCATAGCAACCGTAACTAAGGAGACAGTTTCCATAGCAACTGTAACTAAGGATACAGTTCCCATAGCAACCGTAACTAAGGAAACAGTTCCCCTAGCAACCGTTGCTAAGGAAACTGTTTTTCCAGTAACGGTTGCTAGGGGAAACTTTCCTTAGTAACCGTTACTATGGAAACTATTTCCTTAGCAACCGTAACTAAGGAGACAGTTTCCATAGCAACCGTAACTAAGGAGACAGTTTCCATAGCAACTGTAACTAAGGATACAGTTCCTATAGCAACCGTAACTAAGGAAACAGTTCCCCTAGCAACCGTTGCTAAGGAAACTGTTTCCTTAGTAACGGTTGCTATGGAAACTGTTTTCTATCTACTGTTGCTATGGAAACAGTTTCCTTAGCAACGGTTGCTAGGGGAACTGTTTCCTTAGTTACGGTTCATAGGGGAAAATTTCCTTATTAACCGTTACTATGGAAACTATTTCCTTAGCAACCGTAACTAAGGAAACAGTTTCCCACAGCAACCGCTACTTATGTACCAATATTTTTTTTACTTCAATAATTAAAAATATTCACAATTACAATAAAACATACTTCCATTAAAACAATTTGAGCGAGACTTAGTCTGAAATCTGGATTCATTAAATTAGTAAATCTCGTATCAACGCCGTACCAAAAAAGTATAATATATTCCACTGCCTTTATGGGATCATTATTAAAATTTCTAAATAGTATTTCATCCATTACCACCATTATTTCTGGATATAATGTTTCCATTTGAATATTTGGTGTTGATGAACTTAAAATTTTTGTCACGTTTTCTGGAATTTTTTTTTTTTTTTTTGTTCTTTAGATTAATTTTTAATAAAAAAAAAAAAAAAACAATTTGGTGTTTCACTTTTTTGGATAAAAATTTACTTACCAAATTTGGATTGTGTTATGTGATACATTACATGACTGTGTGTAAAATTCAAATCTTGTTGTAAATTATTATTTATCTTTGATCGAAGACGTTCAGGTATTGAACGAATTGCAATTTTTCCATTAATTATTCCGTCCTTTTAAATTTATGAAATTTTGAAATAGAGGAAAAAATTTTTTTTTTTTAATTGCAAAAAGAGGAAATAATTTCTTTTTTCAATAAACAAAAAATTATTTTTCTTTCTAAATAAAAAAATAATAAAAAATTATGTCCAAAAAATTTTTTCTATCAATTTACTTACAAAAAGTGGATGACCATCTTTGTCTTTATTGACAATAAAAGAAGCAGATCTTTTCATATCATGATGAAGTTTATTTTCAACATGAACCTGTAAATTAATTTTTTTTCATCAAAAATTTCATGATAGAAATTTTAAAAAATATTTTAAAAAATAATTTATATATATATATATATATATATATATATATAAATAATAATAATAAATTAATTGATAATAAATAAATAATAAATAAATAATAAATTAATTTATAAGAATTATTATAAGAAATAAAAATACGATATGCAAAAATAGATTTACAGAATAAGCATCATATAAATAAGTAAATTCAATTCCAGTTGATAATGAATTATTTGCACTGCCTTTCCAAATTTTTGTATATTTCAAATTTTCATTTTGTCCTGGTTTTAAATCAAGAACAAAATATTGTCCAAAAAATCGTGTTTTTAATTTTTTTTCCGTTGATCTTTTTTGAAATGAATGCTCAATTGTTACCACCTCATATTTAGGAACTGTAATAATAATAATAATAATAATTTTTTTTTAATTATTTAAAAAAAAATTTTTTTTTTATAAATTTGTGTAAATTCTTTCTATTCAATTTTTATTTTTTATTTAAATAATAATAATAATAATAATAATAACCTTCAGTGTGTGTAGTGCCAAATACTTCAAAAATTTCATTTTCTGTCATAAGTTTATGAATCTGTAATGAGGAAGAAGAAATTTCTTTTGTTTTTTTTAAATAAAATTTTTTAGTTTATTTCACAAATTTTAAAAACTGTTACAAAAATTACCGAAAATTTCCACACATTATGATAAACTATCAAAAATTTCTTAAAAATTCACCAAATTACATAAATTTCCAAAATTACCGCAAAAAACCTTTAAAAATTCTCATAACTTTCCCTAAATAACCAAAAGTTACTATAACTTTCAATAAATTTCTAAAATTGGCTAAAAATTAAAAAAAAGTTTTATAACTTTCCATAACTTTCGCTAAATTGCCAAAAATTTCCATAAATTTCCATACGTATTCAACAAAACTTCCAAAAATTACAATAACTTTCTATAAATTACCAAAAGTTTCCAAACATTACCAAAAATTTCCATAAATTACTATAACTTTCTAAACATATTTAACATAACTTTGAAAAATTACCACAACATTCCATATATTACCAAAATTTTACCAATTGATATTATTATCCAAAAAAAGACAACAAAACTTTCAAAATTTACCATATTTGTCTATAAATTACCGAAACTTTCCAAAAATTTCCATAAATTACCATAACTTTCTATAAATTATGAAAACTTTCCGAAAACTACCATAACTTTCAATATATATTCAACAAAACTTTCAAACATTACCATAACTTTCTGTAAATTACCAAAAAATTTCCATAAATTATCATAAATTTCTAAAAATTACCAAAATTTTCCAAAATTTACAAAAAATTTCCATAACATTCTATAATTTACAAATAACTTTCTATAAATTAATAAAAACTTTCCAAAAAATACCAAAAATTTCCATAAATTACCACAACTTTCCATATATTATCAAAATTTCACCAATTGATATAATTTTCCAAAAATAGGCAACAAAACTTTCAAAAATTACCATATCTGTCTATAAATTACCGAAACTTTCCAAAAATTTCCATAAATTACCATAACTTTCTATAAATTATGAAAACTTTCCGAAAACTACCATAACTTTTAATATATATTCAACATAACTTTCAAACATTACCATAACTTTCTATAAATTACCAAAAAATTTCCATAAATTACCATAACTTTCTATAAATTATGAAAACTTTCCGAAAACTACCTTAACTTTTAAAACATATTCAACAAAAATTTTCAAACATTACCATAACTTTCTGTAAATTACCATAAAATTTCCATAAATTACCATAACTTTCTAAAAATTACCAAAACTTTCCAAAAGTTACAAAAAATTTCCAATAAAATTACCAAAAGTTTCCAAAAATAAATTTCAATAAAATAAAAAGTAAAAAAATAAAATTTTTTAATGAAAATTACCGTATTAATTAATGTTTTTTTTTTTTATTTAAAAATTTAATTTTTTTTATTTCTTTTTAATTTTTTATTTCTTAATAAGACTGCTTAATTTGTTTACATACCTTTTCGGATTGTACAAAACTAACAAGAATCACAAGGTAAAATGAGAAAAACATTTTTTTTTTTTTTTAAATAAAAATACAAAATTTTTGAAACAATTTACACTTAGAAAAAAAATAGAATGTTCCTTCTTTTCTGTTTTTTTTTTTTTTATTGTATGCAAATAATGTAAACTCATTTAATCGACATTAAAGAATGTATTCATGGAGATGTTAATTCACAGCTTTTAAACACTTGTCGATGACCTTTTTCTTCACAATTATTCGGCCAAACGCCTCGAGAATGCACTTGAATACATAGAGTTAACGGAAGTGTAATTTGATTATACTTGTTGCATGATAGAACAAATGTGTCAGTGATGCATTCACATATATTCGAAATAATATTATTATTATTATTATCATTATGATAAAATGATCATAAATTAACAAAGAATGAAAATTGAGAGAGAGAAAGAGAGAGAGAGAGAGAGAGAGAGAGAGAGAGAGAGAGAGAGAGAGAGAGAGAGAGAGAGAGAGAGAGAGAGAGAGAGAGAGAGAGAGAGAGAGAGAGAGAGAGAGAGAGAAGCAATAATATTAAGTGGCTTCTGTCTAACAATTTTTTTAAATCTCAACTAAAGATGAAATTAGACTTTCCCTCCAAATGTCACGGTAGTATCTCTTGTAGAGATAAAAAAAAAGAATTTAATTTGCTTAAAGTTTGATAATAAAACATAATTCAAGATTAAAATTGACATTGAATATTTGGAAATTATTTTTTTTTTTCTCTTATCATTTAAACAAGAGAAATTTAATTTTACATTTTTTTTTATTATTTAAAATTAAAGCAAATAAAAAAGAAATTAAAATTTTATTTTTATGAAAATGCATTATTTTATTTAATTTAATTATCAAAATTTTGCAAAATGTAAAAAAAAATTTTTTTTAAGAAATTAACACAACTTTCTTAAAAAATAAACAAAAATTACCATAACTTTCCATTAATTACCAAAAATTACTATAAATTTCTATAAATTACCAAAAATTATCATAAGTTTCCATAAATTACTAAAAGAAACAATATAAAAAAAAATTGTCATAAATTTCTACAAATTACCTTAACTTTTTTTATAAATTGCAATAACAGTTTGAAGATTACCATAAACTCCCAGAAATTATCATAACTTTCCCTAACTTTCCATAAATTTCCAAAAATTATTTAAAATAATTAAATTTCCCATAAAATAACAAAAATTATCCTAATTTTCTACCAATTGCTAATATAATTTAAAAAATTATCACAAATTACCATAACTTTCGGTAAATTGCAAAAACTGTCTAAAAATTCCCATAAATTACGATGAATTCAAAATATATTCAACAAATCTTTCAAAAATTACCATAACTTTCTATAAATTACCAAAACTTTCGATAACTTTCCCTTAATTACCAAAAATTTTCCATAAATTACCATAAATTTCGAATACTTTCCTTTAATTACCAACAATTTCCATAAACTACTATGAATTATAAAAAATATATTTAACAAAACTTTCAAAAATTACCATAACTTTCTATAAATTACCAAAACCTTCCAAAAAATTACCATAACTTTCCCTAAATTTCGAAAAATTGTTTAAAATAATTTAATTTCCCATAAAATACCAAAAATTATCCTAATTTTCTACCAATTCCTAATATAATTTAAAAAATTACCAAAAAAATTATCACAAATTACCATAACTTTTCGTAAATTGCAAAAACTGTCTAAAAATTCCCATAAATTACCATGACTTCAAAATATATTCAACAAAGCTTTCAAAAATTACCATAACTTTCTATAAATTACCAAAACTTTCGATAACTTTCCCTTTTTTCCAAAAATTTCCATAAATTACCATAACTTTCGATAACTTTCCTTTAATTACCAAAAATTTCCATAAACTACTATGAATTTCAAAATATATTCAACAAAACTTTCAAAAATTACCATAACTTTCTATAAATTACCAAAACTTTCCAAAAAATTTACCATAACTTTCCCTAACTTACCAAAAATTACAATAAATGTCGAAACATATCGAGAATTTAATTTAAAATATCGATATATCGAAACAAACTGTGGAATAATCGAAAAAACTATCGAATTGACGGGATAAATAATCGAAATATCGATATTAATAATCGAAGTGAAATATCGATATATCGTTATTAATAATCGAAGTGAAATATCGATATATCGAAACAAAACTGTCAAATAATTGAAAAGAACTATCGAATTGACCGGATGAATAATCGAAATATCGATATCAATAATCGAAATAAAATATCGATATATTGATATATCGAAACAAACTGTCGAATAATCGAAATAACTATCGAATTGACAACTAATCGAAGTAAAATATCGAAATATCGAAAAAAACTGTCGATAAAGCAATAATCGAAATATCGATATTAATTATCGAAAAATCGAAATAAATTATCGAATAATCGAAAAAAAAACCAGTCGATATATCGATATTAATAACATCAGTTTAATATCGAAAAATATCGAAATTTAATATTTCAAATAATTGAAATATCGAAAAACTAAATACAAATTTTTATATAACAAAAATAACTAATAAATATAAATTTTTTCATTTAAAAAAAAAAAAAAAAAAATTTCTCAAATTGAATTTTTGCTCTATATATACAGTGGAAGATGTGTAAATTCCTACTACAAGCATAAGAAGGGACAAAAAACGTTCGACCCAACAATCCTTATATGGTAAAGTGTACGCCAAATCAAGCAACATGCCTCTATTTGTCGACCTACAAGAATGCCAGTGTTGCCATATATTTTTAAAAAATCAAAAATTTTCATCATATAATTTTCAAAGAAAAAAAAAAACCTATATCCGAAGAATTTTTTTTGGCCTTTAAAAAAAATTTTCCGGAAAAATAACACAAAATATAATATATTGTTGGATAAATGTTTTTTTTTTTATTTGAAATTTATTTCTTTTGCCAAGTAACGGTAACGCATTACTATTTTTTGAAAAAATTAACAGTAACACATTACTATTTTTTAAAAAAAGGTAACGGTAACAGAATTTTTTTTTTTTTGAAATAAAAGTAACTGTGAAAAGTTACTATTTTTTTAAATTAAAGTAACGCTAACGAATTGCTGTTTTTTTTAAATAAAAGTAACGGTAACACATTACTATTTTTTTAAAAAAATTAACGTTAACAGATTAGTATTTTTTTTCAAAATGTAACGGTAACACAGATTTTTTTTTGAAATAAAAGTAACTGTGAAAAGTTACTATTTTTTTAAATTAAAGTAACGCTAATGAATTGCTATTTTTTTTAAATAAAAGTAACGGTAACACTTTACTATTTTTTTAAAAAAAGTAACGGTAACACATTAGTAATTTTTTTCAAAATGTAACGGTAACAAATTACTATTTTTTAAAATTAAAAATAACGGTAACACGTTACTATTTTAAACAAAAAATGAAAGCAACGGTAACATATTACTAGTTTTTTTAAAAAAAAAGGTAACGGTAACACGGAATTTTTTTTGAAATAAAAGTATCTGTGAAAAGTTACTATTTTTTTAAATTAAAGTAACGCTAATGAATTGCTATTTTTTAAAAATAAAAGTAACGGTAACACATTACTTTTTTTTAAAAAAAAAGTAATGGTAACACATTACTATTTTTTTTCAAAACGTAACGGTAACAAATTACTATTTTTTAAAAATAAAAATAACGATAACACGTTACTATTTTAAACAAAAAATGAAAGCAACGGTAACATATTACTAGTTTTTTTTAAAAAAAAAGGTAACGGTAACACAGAATTTTTTTTTTTTTTAAATAAAAGTAACAGTCACAAGTTACTATTTTTTTTTTTAATAAAAATAAACGCTCTCGAATTACTATTTTTTAAAAAAAGTAACGGTAACACATTACTTTTAAATAATAACAGTAACACCACTATTACCATGTCTCAGAAAAAAAAATCAATTTTCTATATTAAACAATTGTCAATTTTTGAAAAAAAATTTTTAAATCGAAATTTTATTGTCACATGTTTTACTTTTTTTCCTGTTCTTATATTTCTTGTTTGTTTTGTTTTGTTTTGTTTTTTTTTTTTTAATAAAATGACCCTGGAAACTTTTTGATAAAACTTGAGAACGACCTCAAGACGTTTGAAAGACGCTCTTCTCGCGCACTGTCTGGTACGATTCCAAGTATCGCGGAAAGCTATTTTTAAAAAGTAAAGCTCGCCTATTTTCATTTTGGCTCAACTGACGGAAATCTAATGGATTTCAGAATATTAAAAAAAAAACATATAGATACATGTATACCTATATATATATATTTGTGGCAATCAAACAAATCGACTTTTGTAGTGTGTCTGTTTCCCAATAGAAATTCTTTTTTCTTCAAACTTTTAAGTTATATACATTAATACCAAGAGACAAGTCTAAAATTTTACATAAATTCAATTACTTTTTAATTCATTATTATTAATTTTTTTTTCTATTCATTTATAAATTTTTTTAAAAATAATTTCTTACAAGTTGTGGAAATTTACGGTGACTTATGCTAATTTACGGTAATTTATGGAAACTTACAGAAACTTATAGTAATTTACGACAACTTATGGTAATTTGTGATAAATTATAGTAATTTTTGGTAAATTAAGGTAACTTTGGTAAATTATATCAATTTGTGAAAATTTACGGTAAATTATAGAAAATTATGGTAATTTGCGGTAAATTATAGTAATTTTTGATAAATTATGCTAATTTATGTAAACTATAATAAACTTCGGTAAATTATAGTAATTTTTTGTAGATTACGGTAATTTATGTAAACTATGGTAAATTTCGGTAAATTATGGTAATTTAGGGTAATTTACAGTAATTTGGTGTAAATTATAGTAATTTGGAGTAAATTATGGTAATTTACAGTAAATTATAGTAATTTGTGATAAATTATAGTAATTTTTGGTAAATTAAGATAATTTTGGTAAATTATATCAATTTGTGAAAATTTACGGTAAATTATAGAAATTTATGGTAATTTGCGGTAAATTTTAGTAATTTTGTATAAATTATGGTAATTTATGTAAACTATAATAAATTTGGGCAAATTATACTAATTTTTGGTAAATTAAGGTAATTTTGGTAAATTATATCAATTTGTGAAAATTTACGGTAAAATATAGAAATTTATGGTAATTTGCGGTAAATTTTAGTAATTTTGTATAAATTATGGTAATTTATGTAAACTATAATAAATTTCGGTAAATTATACTAATTTTTGGTAAATTAAGGTAATTTTGGTAAATTATATCAATTTGTGAAAATTTACGGTAAAATATAGAAATTTATGGTAATTTGCGGTAAATTTTAGTAATTTCGGATAAATTATTGTAATTTTGGATAAATTATGGGAATTTATGTAAACTATAATAAACTTCAGTAAATTATAGTAATTTTTTGTAGATTACGGTAATTTATGTAAACTATGGTAAATTTCGGTAAATTATGGTAATTTAGGGGTATTTACAGTAATTTGGGGTAAATTATAATAATTTGGAGTAAATTATGGTAATTTACAGTTAATTATGG